TGAAGCCCTATACAAGTGCTTTAATACCATGACTTTCACTGTCCAAACCCTGTGTTCCTAATCCCTTGCCACCCAACTCACTCTTCTAACCCATTCCCTGATGACTTGCTGAGTTCCCCATCCTGTTACCTCCTGGTCTTCATCTCCTGCCACTCTCCCTTAACTAATTTCTTTCCCATCACACTAGCTTCTTGTTGTTCTAAAAAATGCCAAGGGTGTGTTTCTGTCTCAGGGCCTTTGTACTGTGTGTTTCTGACTCAGGGCCTTTGTACTGTACAGCCTGTTTTCTGCCTGAAGCCTCTTCCCACACACAACTCATTTCCTAATCTTTAATTCCTTGAATAAATGTCACTTTCTCACTAATGCCTAGAACAGCCGTGGGCAAACTACGGCCCGCGGGCCGGATCCAGCCCGTTTGAAATGAATAAAACTAAAAAAAAAAAAAAAAAAGACCGTACCCTTTTATGTAATGATATTTACTTTGAATTTATATTAGTTCACACAAACACTCCATCCATGCTTTTGTTCCGGTCCTCCGGTCCAGTTTAAGAACCCATTGTGGCCCTCGAGTCAAAAAGTTTGCCCACCCCTGGCCTAGAACCTCCCCCCCCCAATTGGCATTCCCTGCTCTATTTTCCCCCATATCCCTTATCACCATCTAATCTATATATATAAAACACTAATATGCAAATAGACCAAACGGCTGAACAACCAAACAACTGGCCGGTATGACATGTGCTGACCACCAGGGGGTGCGTGCACAGAACATGGCAGGCGTTGGCCACAGAGGGATGGTGGAGCAGGTGAGCAAGATACCAGACCAAGGTAGGATACCAGTTGCTGTCATCAGGGCGAGCCTCTGGTGGTTACTGAAAATTTTTTGCTCCCTTGTGCTGTGGTCCTGCCAGGTGCTCGCACCCACTGCCAGTGCCCGGCGCCAGTCCTGATCGCTCAGCGCCATCAGCGGATGCGAGCAGGGCCAGTGCTGTCAGTGTGTGGGAGCGGCAGCAGAAGGAGCAGAGGTGTGGGCAGACAGGGGACCAGGGTCCACTGCAGGAGGGGCTGGGCAGGGGCGCGGAGGATGGGCCGAGACCCATCCCTGTGTCCACTGCAGCCTCTTGGCCCACCGCTCCTTTCAAGGTGCACAAATTCATGCACTGGGCCCCTAGTATACCATATAATTTACTTATTTATTATTTGTTTGTCCTCCTCCAATGTTTATTATACAAGGGCAGGGATTTTTTCTATTTTGTTTATTGCTGTATTCCCAGCACTTGGAACAGAGTGAGCCACATACTAGATATTCAATAAACATTGTTCAATAAACATTGTCAAATAAGTGAATAAATCTCATACTGGTGGCACAGAATTTCTTATATAGTTGAACTCTAATTAGGTTGCAAAAACTAAAGGTCAAGCTGGTATTTATACTAAAGCAGGAAAAAAATCCTCATGAAAAGGAAAGCAATGAGATTGTTCACTCTTTTGGTAATATTTAAATTTAAAACATAATTTCTTTTTCCTAGTTGAGTTTTCTATTGAACCATAGCTCTGTCTGATCAGGGTCAACTTCAAAAGGTCTCTGACTCATTTCACAACCTTCTTTGCCAGTCATTTCTCAACTCGCCTACAAAGTGTATCTTCCCCTGGTGAAAAGATAATTTATACACTTCAATCATATTGACATTTCCCTTTGTAAAGAATACATATCTCTTTGGAGACTTGTAAGAGATAGGTTTTTACAAGTGGCCCAGCACTTTGTATTTGTTCAGTGCCTTTCATTCAAGGCTTTCTAAGTTCTTCACAAATATTGGTCCTCAGACTCTCCTACTTCTATTCTGCCAGCCATATGATAAGCAGCTTTCCTAGAATTTCTGAAGCAGTTATTTAAAGGCATCATGACAAAAAGTATGCAGCAAGGAGATCATAGCACCTTACACAATGATCTCTACTTAAATCCCAGAAAACCTGCCTTGTAGATCAAGTTCAAATGAAGAAACCAAAGTACAATGAGTTTCACAAGATCTGAAGCCTAGAGGGTTCAGTGGCTTGGCCAATAGTGAGCAAAAGTGCTTCACCCAGAACCCTGCTTGGAGAAGGGAACTTGGGAGGAAGGTAGGGCTAGACCTACCCATGCAACTCCAGGCTCCTTCTCTGTTACAGGAGGGACTCAATTGCACCATGGCTCAACAGTCCTGTGATTTCTAACTACCTGATGGTCAATTTTCCCTTAGATATCCTGCGCTTCTTTAAGTTCAGCTTGTCCAAAACAAATTAATTATCTTATCACCAAAAACAATAGTTTCTTCTCCTGACTTCCTTGTCTTTTTTAAACCTTGGAGCAATGTTTGACTCTCCTTTCATCTAAACTAGTGCTTCTCAAACTGTCATGTGCCTATGAATTACCCAGGGATCATGTCAACATGAAAATTCTGGTCCTGGTCAGTGTGGCTCTGTTGGTTGAACATCTTCTCATGCACCAAGAGGTTGCAGGTTGGATTCCTGGGTTGTGGGCTCAATCTTCAGTAGGGGTGTACAGGAGGCAGCCAATGGGTGTTTCCTCTTTCATTGATGTTTCTCTCCCTCTCCCTTCCTTTTTCTAAAATCAATAAAAACATATTTTTTTAAAAAAAATGCAAACTCTGATTCAATAAGAATAGGATGAGGCCTGAGATTCTGCATGTCTGACAAGTTCCTAAGGACCTGTCCTGCTGGTCTTAGGGTTTTACTGCCCAAATTCAGCCCACCCTCAGCCCCATTCCCACCCGATCATGTCCAGTTGTTACCGGAGCCCAATAATTAAGTTCATTCTATCTGTATGCTCTGGCAAAAGATGCACGGAAGTTGGGGGTTTGCAGCAAAGAAAGGAAATCATTGATTAGAATTGGCAAATCTGGAGATGAGCAAGCTTGTGTCCTGAAAGAGCTACTCCTCCATGGCACATAGGTTACAGAGTATATAGAGCAAAATCACAAGACACCGGGGGTTAGGAATTCCAGGTCTGTTGAGAGCTGATTGGTCAGAGGTGAAATAAGGGTAATAAATCATTTCTTCAGGTCCTGGGCAATGTTTTTGTTGTTCTTTTTTTAATTGATTGATTGATTTTTAGAGAGAGAGAGGAAGGGAGAGAAACATTGATTTGTTGTTCCACTTACTTTATGCATTCGTTGGTTGATTCTCTTTTTTTAAAATATATTTGTATTGATTTCAGAGAGGAAGGAAGAGGGAGAGAGAGATGGAAACATCAATGATGAGAAAGAATCATTGATCGGTTGCCTCCTGCATGCCCCCTACTAGGGATCAATCCCGCAACCTGGCCATGTGCCCTTGACTGGAATCGAACCTGGGATCCTTCAGTCCGAAGGCCAACACTCTATCCACTGAGCCAAACTGGCTAGGGCCACTGATTGATTCTTACATGTGCACTGACCAGGGATCGAACCTGCAATGTTTGCACATTGGGAGGACGCTCTAACCAACTGAGCTACCCGACCAGGGCCTATTTCTTCAGGTCTTGAGGACAACTCCCGCGGTCAGCTCCGGAATCCGGAACCCGGAACCAGTTTCAAGGAGAGGTAGCCAAGGGGGTCATCATGTCTTCCTGGCACAGTAGTTGAAACATACCAGATTAAGATGTTATCTTTTTAGCCTGCCAGGGGCTTAAACCTTGTGACCATTAGTCAGAACCAAGGCATTGTTTTCTGCTGCCCCAGGGGTCAACAATCACCAAGGTGAGAGACTAAGGTCAGGTCAGTAAAGTGTGCTGAGAGTGAGAGGAGGGAAAAAATTATTGTTTTAAAATTACAGTTTAAATCAAATCAGAGTTATGAGGACCCTCAGTTTCACAATCAGTTGCCCAGTGACTTTAATTTTTTCCTATGAGGTGCACCCCTATGCATTCCTTCCTCCTGTTCTCACTGTGTACCTCACTACCACCACCACCACCAACTTCTTACCACTTCCCACCCCTGCCCAAGTTTTATTCCTAGATAACTTTGATAGCTCAGCTGTGGGACTCTCTCCATCAGTGGATTATAAAATCAATCTGTTATGTAGCTAACAGAATTTAGAAAACATGAATCAAATAGAATAGGAATAGAAATAGAATAGAATAGATAGAATAGAATAGAATAGAATAGAATAGAATAGAGAATGAGACTATTAGAGTATGTCACACAAAATAAGGATATTATTATTATTTTGGTTAGCTATAAAAATATTTATTTCTTGGCCATGAAGCAAAATATATTTCTTACTGTGGATAGTGGTTAAAAGCCAAAACAAACAAACAAAAAACCCACACACAAAAACAAACAAACAAAAAACATTTGAAGACCAAGGTCCTCCAGAGACCTCTCGTCCTCGCTCCATTCCAATCCAACATGCATGCAACAACAGGCTCATCTTTCTAAACCTCTGCTGTGTCAGTCTATCTCCTTGATCAAAAACCTTTAGTGTTGCTTCACTGTCCAAAGTTTGGGATATGTCAGCCTGAACTGTGAGGCCCTCCTCAACCTGGCCTCGTGTGGTTTTGAGCCTGATTTCCTACTCGTCTCCGCTAAGAACCAATCCTCCCGCAGGGCGGGGCACCTCTCTCACTGTTCCCCAAGAGTGACTGCCACTTTCCTGCCTGTGCACCTGCTGCTCCGGCTGCCTGGACACCCTTCCCTCTGATTCCCACTGAAATCACATCTGTTTTTCAAATCCGCTTCAGGTTGTGGCGGCTAAAAAATAATGGTACTTTTCCTCTCACTAAGTTCTTCTAGCTGGGCTAGTAATCAAATTAATAGAGGCAGTGTAACAGGAGAAAATAAAATTTTAATGCATGCCCATGGGCATTAACATAGGCATAAAAATTTCAGAGACAGTGAGACAACATTGGGTATATATGATATTTTAGACAAAAGAGCAAAAGGGCAGGGGGAACAGGGCCATAGATTTCCGAAGAGAATGGGCAATTTACACGTAGTTGAGGAAGAGCAGAACACACAGGGCAGGCAAATTCTTGCTAGGCATCCACACAAACATCATGCAGCCAAAGAGTAAGTTGGGATCATAGTACTGGTCTGGTGTCTCATTGGATGTAATTTACCACTGGCCAGCCTCCAAATTCCCACACAGAACTTTGGGAATAGAGATACTGTATAGTTTTTGGAAATTTAATGTTAAGATATCTATAATAACTCACTACATTAAAAAAAATATTGCTAGGCAACCCAGAACTAATGGGACACGGGGGATTCTAGTAACAGGCTCCTGACTTATTCACCATACTTAATTCAAGGTAGGCTAAGGAGGAAATGTTAAGACCTCCTTCCTAAAGCAGGTTTTTCTATCAGAATCTCTTGAGCAGAAAGAAAGGAGGAGGGCGAGGCAAAGATTCTTTCTGAATCTTTTGTTTCTCAATAAGCACCTTAAAATCAATATCCCAAAGGGCAGCTGGTAGCAAAGCTTTGGTCCCCTTCCAGGTTCTGTCTCTTCCACGGTGACTTCATCAGTGGTTGTTCCCCCTGGAAATGGTATCTTGTCATTGAGCTCTTCTCACACAGAAAGCACCCACGCTTTTACCTAATTTTTTGGACATTCTCATATTTGCATTATTTTCCTATCTAGACTGTAAATTGCACTGAGAATTGGAGCTATTGTTTGTAGAATTATTACTTGGTGAGCTTACTCATCTTACTTAGCTTCTCTGTGCTTCATTTAAAAAGTACTGTGAGCCCTGGCTAGTGTTGCTAAGTGGTTAGAGCTTAGGCCCTCGCACCAAAGGGTTAAGGTTTGATTCCCAATCAAGGGCATGTACCTGGGTTGCAGGTTTGATCCACAGCCCTCGTCAGGCAAGTGTGGGAGGCAACCAATTAATGTATCTCTCTCACATCAATATTTTTCTCTCTCCCCCCTTGCCTCCCTCCCTTCCACCCTCTCTAAAAAAAAAAAAATGGAAATAATATCCCCAGGTGATGATTAACAACAACAGCAAAAGGTAGTGATTCTTTTTTAATTTAAATTGATCACCAAGACAATTATGATTGACTGGGGTAAGGGGTGGAGAGAGAGAAGTTTAATGATACAAAATTGGATAAAATTAAGAAGATTATTTTAAGTTATAGTTATGGAAAAGTTATAGGAATTATAATTAGTTAAATAAGTGCCATAGCTTCTAAAAAAATAAAATAAAAATAAAAAGTAGCAGATCTACATCATAGGGTCATAATGAGTGAACACATGTGAAGTGCTTAGGCTAGTGCCTGGCGTAGAGCAAGTGCTCAATAAATATTAGCTTCATCATTCTGTCTGCATAGTATCTATCACATCCCTTGTTCATAACAGACCCATAATCTATATATATAAAAAGCCAGCAACTGGAACGCCATAATGACCAGAATGACTGGTCGCTATGATGCCTACTGAGCGAGCGAATGGGCCCGAGCAGGGGGTGGGGCCGGCTGGCCAACCTCCCGCAGCCCCTCTCCCCACCCAGCCCCACCCCTGATTGCTCCCCCCACCCCAATAGGGGGCAGGGCCAGCCGGCCCACCTCCCGCAGTCCCTCCCCACAGCCAGCCCCACCCCCATCAGCCTCCACCACCTCCATAGGCCTGTGGGCCCTCCTCCCAGCCAGTTCCGCCCATGATCAAACCTCCTCCCCCCACTTCGATCAGGGTCAGGGTTGGCTGGCCAACCACCCACAGACCCTCCCCCAGGCCACTGGCCTCTAATTGGCCCACCCACCCCAATCTGGGGGCTGGCCTGCCGGCCCAATTGCCTGGGGCCCTTCTCCCCAGTCAGCCTAGCCCTGATTGGGCCCTGATCAGGGAGGGCTGGCCGGCCAACCTGCCACCGTCTCCTCCTCCCAACAGGCCCAGCCCCAATCCTCCAATTGGGCCTGAGCCGGCCGGATCCCACCCAAGCACAAATTCGTGCACTGGGCCTCTAGTTCATAAGTGAGTAAATTAGCCCACATTAAAATTGTTTGTCTAAAAGTTTCTATTTCCGTTGTGACTGCTTCCTGCTTCCTTTGTCTGCTTCTGGGAACTGCATCATTTACTTGAACAATTTAAAGAATAAGTGGGAGGGTTCACAATTATCATGCAACCAAAGTGTTAGCAGCAACCATTGCAAAACCCAAGTACTGTCCCTAGAACTGCCCATAGAGCACGTCAACATAACAGCCCATAGAACATGTCAACAGCCTGTCAAGAAAAGCTGAGGGAGAGTGCACGTCCCCAAGCACCACCCCCTCCTTCCTCACAATCTGACCGCCCAGCTCTATCCAACTTTGTGCCTCTCAGACACTCCCTCCTTCACCTTTCCTTTTCCCACTTGACCTCTCCCCTACCTCAAATCTCTTTCTTTTTTATTCTTTTCCCCTCTCTCTCTAAAAACAAAATTTTTTAAAAGAAATAAGAGGGGTAGGCTGTGACTCCTGAAGGCACACTCCCACTCTACCTCCTATGCACAGTAGGGGGTTGGGGGGTTGGCGGGTGAGAGGTCACGAGGTGGGGGGGATAGAAAGATGAGTGTGCTGGGCTCCTGAGCCACATCCTGCAGGGTGGATTTAACAAGTCACTGGTATTCACACACCAGCCTGCTCCATGAAAGATCTTTTTCAAAGTTTTGTGTAAACAAAGTAAAATTCAAGCTGGCAGCTACAACAGCATTTTTCAACGTTAGAAAAGGCAAGACACAGTTCGTGCCAAAGTAGTTACGGCAACCTGGAATCTAAGCGGCTGATAATGTCAGCTATCTATTTGGAGCTAAACCAGCAGAGGGGCGTCCCCCTGCTTCATCTCCTTTGCTTCAGTGTTGCTCACAGAGGAGTGACGTGTCATTTGAGTGCCTTGCCTCTGAAAGCACAGACTGGCCGAGGGCTTAGCCCGCCAGTGTTACAGTTGCTCTTAATAATTCTCCTGTTTTGTTGTACTATTTATGCTGGCTCGACCTCCATAGGGTCCCTTGGAAACTTTCCTCTTGCAGAATCAAGCCAACCTCTTTTGACTACAGATGGTTCTGTTTTTATCCATGAGAGTTTTATGGTATGGCGATGCCAAGTCTGGAATTTCAGGCTTAGCTACATGAGAAGTTTTGTGTGAGTGCATGTGTGTGTGTGCTCTCCCACCCCCCACACCCCCATCTCAAATTCTCTAAATCCAACATTCAAAATAAAATATGCCAGGAAAATGAAAAGCTGGGTCTCAAAATAATAAATATGCCAGACCCGGGGCTACAAAAGCAGCATACCACAAAACCGCATTGGTAAAAGCTCTGATTTTTCTCCCCCTTAAATTTGTTGGTACTATATATACATTCATGTTTATTTTTCTGTCAAAAACCTAAATGGTACTATTTTTAGGCCTGCCCTCGTTCTGTATCTTATTTCAGGCACATCTCTTCCTGGCTTTCTCTCTCCATCTCAAAACGTTTCTTGAAGAGGAACAAATGATTTATGGGTTGGGAATAAGTGATTTCCAGGCTCAATGACCACAAAGGTCTCCTTTATCAGACCGGGCACTGAATCAAAGATGAGCCCAGATTTTTTTTTTCTTCATTATCTATTGCTCAGTTCTGGTGACACCATTCCCTCCTTTGTTTAACTATTTTTATTCTGCACTTTGGGCCTTTTTCCTTCAATGGAGACTATAAAGAACTCTCTTTTGAAAAGCTGGACCCCACTGCAGCCAGAACAATATATGACCCATCATGCATTCATTCTAATGATAATCTTTGTTACTTGAGAAACAGGGATCATGTATTTGTATCCCACCAGCAGGCTTTTCAAGAGGAAGCAGATAGTAAAACATAGTGCTGCTGCTGAGGGTTTTCAGGGTTTTGTGACACATTTTCCATTCCGGTTCTTCCCATGTGCAGTTTTAGCAATTTGTAAGAAAGATGAACAATAAGCAATTAATCAAAACAGAACATATGGCAAGGGTTATAAAGCCAAGCTTCTATTGCAATGATAGCCTACTATAGCAAAGCTTATCATCTCGATGGCAAAGGCAACACAGAAAAATCAAAAAATGAGCTTGCATGAATCATGTCTTTATGACACTTATGGCTTCTCTTCCTCATTGTCATCACGGATGAAGAGGAGGTCGGAGCTATACATCCACTTAGCCATTTGCTGTTCCTTCCAGTTCATGGTAAAGTTGTCAAATCGTGAGACAGATTGAACTCTTTCCAGAGGTACATTCTATCATGGATGTTATTTTCCCATCTTCCTTTCACAGGCCATCACAGCTGGTGTACTCCTACTGTTGGCTCACAAAGAGTGGACCCAGAGATACTTGGTAAACATGTGGACATTGTTGATGTGAGAAATATCCAAACCTGTAAAGATTTGATTTGAGCCAAAATGACAACAACTGCCAAGAAGCAAGATCTAAACTTTTCAGAGAGGGACAGTTTTTCAGTTTCTTTTACTCATTTGAAATTAAGGAGAGAACGTAAGGGAGATTACATGGAGGTGGGAAAAAGCAAGGTGGGGATTGGATTACAGGATAGTGAACACGATTATGTGATCTCTTGAGAATGGTTATGTCTTAGAAGGAGGGGTCTGAAAAGGGACATTTCAACGGTGTGTTAATCTAGATACGCAAGAACAATAGACAGGATTTGCTTAAGGCAAAGATAAACTTTTACTAAAGAAGTTATGTGCCTGGAAGGTGACTACCCACCATAATCTGCCCATTTAGGAAGTTATGATCAGATTACCCTGTGAGGTTACTTTCTGTTACTGGACGTGTCAGTTTTATTATAGAACCCCTTTTATTTCAAGGAAGATCGTTTGGAGATCAAATCTCTCTTAGTTCAGGATAGAACATAGAGACTGTGATTTCCAATTATAGTTGAACTAGAGGCTGGATGCACGAAGATTCGTGCAAGAATGGGCCTTCCTTCCCCTGGCTGCCGGCACCGCCTTCACTCTGGCCAGAGCTGCCTTTCGCCTTCCCATGCTGCCCAGAGGCCTGGAGCAGCTGGGGCGGTGCGGAATGCCTGTGTCCTGCTCTGCCCCCTCGGCGCCTGCGTATGCAAATTAACCAGCCATCTTTGTTGGATTAATTTGCATGCTCACTCCTGATTGGCTGGTGGGCATCACGAAGGTACAATCAATTTGCATCTTTC